GTCGTGCCGGCTCCGTGGGGCTAACGCGTGAACGTGGGGCTGCTCCCTGCGTGTGGGAGCCCGCGCTTCGGGAACCTGTTGTAACCATCTCTTACAGGCCGCGTGTATTTAATTTCTTTCCCCCCACAACGATACTCCTGAACAAGGGGTTGCATCTTCAGGGCGTTTCGAGCTGTGATACCCCAGTCCTAAATCTAATTGATTATTTTCGTAAATAACCGCGTTATGCGTGCACACCCCGGCGTTGCTGATGTGCAGGTGATGTCCGTATTGTGCGTGGCAACTTGTGACTTCATAGTCCTTACATCTATGACATGTCAGTTATTTAATAAGGTAATGAATCATGATGTCAAAGGCTGACAATGTGAGGTTGGCGTTAGGAACTGAAAGCACAGCATGTAGTTTAATGAGCAGTAAATACACCCGAAATGAAGGGGATATTTATTTTTCTCCTTTTAAAATATGTTTATACTTCATTTCATTCAGAAATGGAAAGATAATACCTTCTTCCAAGTACAGTGGCACGGCAGCGCAGAAATCAAAGCACACTTTGTATTATTCAGCTTTTTAACTAATAGGTGGATATTATTAATGACTTAACAGCAGCAAGAAAAACTAGTACATTATTATATATTTTAGATAATACGCTCTGGTAGCATTAATGCAGAGGATTCTTTGTATCTTCATGTAATATGTACCCTGATGATTTAACTTTGAAAATGCTGTGCCTTCTTTTTATTATCTCGGGCTGGCTCGCTCTGTTAGTGTTTTGTCGTGCTTATCACCTTGCTGTCTACCCAATTCTCACTCCGAAATCCTACAGTAAAAAAATGAATGCCACCGTTTTGCAGCATAAAGTATTTTTGAGGCGCCGCTGTTGTAGCTGGTGCGTACCCTCTGCATGTCAATATTCAAAACTGTTGACTTTCAAAAACGCAAAGCCTACCACCTCCTCCTCAGTCGAGATTCTGCACGCCGCCGGGGGCATGCCGGGGCTCGTGTCCTGGTGGATTGCTGAGATACCAGCCGGCTTGGTTCAGTGAAGATACCTTCCAGCTTCACTGGTCCATGTCATTTGAAGGATATGTAGTGGTGTTCTGACCACTGAATGCTTACAAGTGTCATGGATGCTGCAAGAATCTGATACCCCTGGTGCTGGGAGCTGGCTTTCCCTGTAAGCAGGAGCGTACACAAAAGGATCGCACTTTAAGTAGACGTAGATTAGATTCTAAGTTGCGCTTACTTAATGACTTATGGGGGACTCCAAATACCACGGTTTTTTATTGGTAACAGGTCTGCACGTTGGTGTAGACAGTGGTATTTCAGAGACCTTCAGCCGTAGTGGGTGAAAACATACCGTCACCTTCTCGACTTTAACGTGTGTTTAATGGCAGCATGGTAACTGGCTGCTCTTGATTGGGTTCTTCGGTGGCAGTGAAATCAGAACAAAATCATTTAGATTTCTCTTGTTTATAAGCAGGCATTATAACTTACTCAAAATGTTAAAAGCTCGGAGATGTTGAAATGCTCTGTGATACAGAATACAATTGGTATATTTTCGTTTTGGGTCTTGGATGATATTCCTGGGAATTCATAAAGGTCACGAAGGCCTGTCTTTGAATCTTAATCATTTTAAGATTTCATCAGGCTGCCTAAGTGTACAAATGCCTTCTTAAACATGGACAAAGAAACAAAAGAAACATACCCGAGACTGTAGAGGTTTCCAGACTTGACCCTCCCGTTACTCATAGTTTCTCTAAAGTTGCAATGAGAGGTTGACATTCATTCAGTAAAATTTCAGTTTAAGGAAGAAAATCTGCATAGAGTTTCTTAAGTTACTAATTTGCAGAAGGAAATCTTAAAAGTAACTAACAGTTAAGCACGTGTGCAAATAGATGAAAATTATTACACAGAAAAGGACTTTAAAACTTTGATTACCTTTTCTGTAAGCAATGGTGCCCTTGGTAATTTGGAATTTAAAGTTTAATGAAAGGTCATTCACAAAAGATTCACATGTCTTTAGCAAGAGATTAACTGTTCCTCTTGTGCAGTATGATATATACTGCACGGTACAGTATGGGTTGGTGAGAAACACAAGCAGCACCGTGCCATAGCCACCTGCTTACTCTGTACAGAAGAAATTAGGAGAATCGCACTCAGAATTAGAACTTGCCAATGACTTTTCTGCATTTTTAAAAAGAACTTTTTTTTTTTGGTAACACACTACTTAAAGTGTGTACATATAAGGTACATACATATCCATACGTGCATTATGGCTTTGGACTACTTTGGAATTGGGGCTACATATATTTTTTTAAACAAAATGACTGTACCGGGAAGCTGGAAATAGGGTGATTCTCCTCTGAAATGTAACTGTAGAAGTAGCACTGGTTCTTTCTTTAGGCTTGTTTTTTACGTGGTAAATCACATGTGCTCACTCTTCTGACAAACACAAGTTTTTGCTGTTGTCAGGGCTGGAGGCAGGCAATTTTGGATCATGAGAGCCAGTCTGCACACTGTGAGCAGAGATATTTGTAAAGTTTGTGCTACAAATGCAGATCCAGCAGCCCAAGTGATGCTGGGGCTAGACGGCACCTGGGTTGTCTTCTTTGCCATGGTGAAAAACACTCTTTACCTGCAGGGAGAGCAGATTTTTTTTTTTTTCTTCATGAAATTTTCTGAGGGAAGGTAACCTTTCAATGCCCTCGTGCATTTTTGTAAAATTATTTTTCAAAGTACAGCAACTAAAAAATCATCGTTTAAAAAGTGGAGGAATGACGTTCCTGACTTGTGAACCTTGCTGTGCACTCAGAGATTTAGGACTTTACCACGGGAGGGGTGGGTGTTCTGGCTCTGATCCGGCATTTGATGAGGTGCTCAACTCTAGGCAAGCTAGGAATTCTGTTGACTTTGATCTCCCTTTTCCAGGTTAATGCTGGAGCTTCCTGGCCTCTGCAATCCTCACCTACCATAGGGCCTCAGTGCACGAGCCTCTGTGAAAGCCTTTTGAGGCACAGTCAGTTTTGCCATCAGTAGGAGAAATCTCAGTAGATTTCAGCGAGGAGTGGATTGGGCCCGTTACGGTGACCCTGAACATTAGGCTTAAATGATCGTTTGTCTGTCCCCGAGAGACACAGAAAACTCTGTGCTGGGTCATGTTTTCTGTTGTTCTGGGGAGAAAATGCATTTAGATGGAGGAATGTTCATCTTCCAGTTATTTATTTGACTCTCGGGACTTCACCAGAGTATTGAGTTGATTAAAATGTCTCTGTGCCGTATTGTGTAATATAATATATTTTATAGAATACGTGGTATGTGTTTTCAATTTTTAAAAAGTTTTGGGTTAGAGCATTACTGTGCTGCTGGAGAGAATTCCACTTTTAAAGATGAGTGAGCTAGGGAGAATTATTATTGCTTCCATGTTTACTTGCAACAATGAAAATGGTTAAAAACACATCACTGCTGTGAAACGCCAAGCTTTTAACTTTAATTTTGCTTGTGCTAATGCACAGTATAGCTGTAGACAGAGAATGGAGCGCTATAGAAAAATATTTAAATTATGGGGCTGATTACTAAATGCTTTACCTAAATATTGTTGCCTTTTTATAGAACATTGCCATGATTTTATGGTTTCGCTCGCCTGTAACTATTTGCAATGACTTCTGTTCCAGACAGGCGCAAGAAGATAGGCTGGGTGGGAAGAGGCAGCCCCTTATGGCCTGGGAGCCGTTTGCTGGCTGCAGGACACATGCAGCTCCTCTCGACATCAGTGGTTTGGGCTGGTCAGCTCCTCCCAGGATTTGCAGGCAGAGCAGCAGTTAGATGTCTGTACGGCTGCATCAGGTACCTGAAGGCAGAGGGGAGTGAGGAAAGTAAAGCTGGGAGAGAGGGGAAGATGCAGGAGAAGAAAGGGATTAAGATACTCCAGGGGAGAAACAGGATATCAGTAGCGAAAGCAAGGAAGTAAAGATGAGGGGAAAAGGGAAGAGAGCAGTTTTGAAAGGTGAGGAGTGAAAGAATAGGATACCAGACAGGAAAGGAGGCAAGCAAACCATAAAAGACCCCGGCAGATAAAAAGAAGAGAGGGAATGAAACAAAAGGAAAAAACCTAATCCTGGGCAGAAACAGCATCTGCTGTCAACAACAGCTGAGTATTTCAGTTTCTGGAAAAGCTATTGCAGATGTGGGGGAGGAAAAATGAACAGGGATCAACCAAGTGACCTGAGGTGGGAAGAGTTGTAGGTGGGAAATACGGAATTGAAGAGTAAAAGAGAAAGGGGGGAAGTAAAAACACAAAGAGATAAGAAGGCTAAGCCTGACTCTGCTGTTTTCTGGGTTCAGCGAAGTCCCAGCATGTACAGACCCGGCTGTTTTTCTATACTTTTGTTCCCTGGACTACTAGACCTTGGGGAGATTAGAAGTGCA